TAATCTTATCAGTAGTATTAGTATTATTCTAGATCTTTGTTATTCCATGTTGTGTCATTATTGCTAATATTGTTAGCAGTATTCTTGTATTTCTTATTTTTAGATCTTTGTTATTATATATAGTGTCTTTTTTGGTTGTTATTGTTGGTTTCTTCCTATTTATTAAGCTGAGGGTTTATCTGATACAACTTTTCTAGCTTCACAAGATAGGGATAATGTCTGCGTAGACACTACCTTCCTCAGACCCCACTTGTAAAATTACAGTGAGTTTATTATATTATTGTTGTTGTAATAATAATAATAATAATAATAATAATAATAATAATAATAATAATAATAATAATAATAATAATAATAATAATAATAATAATAATAATAATAATGACGACAAGGAGAAGAGGGAGCAGATAAGATGTTCTAAAAAATTAGATTCATGCTCCATCTTAGAAAGAGAAAAATCATTCAACTACCTACTAATCTTCTATCCTGATCCTCGACATTCATGCTCTCATACCTTGGGTCATTTTCTTGCTAAGCAAAAAATCTGTCATGTCATATCTAATCACATCTCCCAATTCTTGTTTTGTCTACCTGTACAAATATGAAAAACATTTGCACTTAAGAAAATAAAAAAATTTATAACACATTTAATCCAGGTAACTTATACTCCATTCGTTTCAATTTAAATGACATACTTTTCTTATTAGTCCATTTCAAAAAGAATACTCCATCCGGTTCACAATAAGTGACCAATTTATTTTTTCATTTTGGTTCAAAATAAGTGTCCAGTTATGTAATCAAGAAAGAATTCAATTTGTTTTTACAAAATAACCCCTATGTACATATCCCTAAAAAGTTTTCTTACTCCTTGCATTAAATGTTTAATTAGGGGTAGTTTAGTCATAGTAGGTATTTTTGTACAGAATTTTGTATTTTCTTAATGGGCGTGCTAAAAACAAATTGATCACTTATTATGAACCGAAAAGAGTAACACATTTTTATATTTAGAAACCATTTAATTTTAAACTTTTCATTTTACCCACTTTATCCTTAAATAAAAGTTTTTATAGCCACATAAGTATTATGGTCCTGCAAAACTTTTGTCTTTTAAGCTTTTAGAATCATATGTTTCAAAAAAAAAAATTAAAATTTGTGCGACATCCCACTGCACCATCTGAATTGAAATGGAAAGAGTATTAAAGGATCCCAAATTATATAGTCTTTTTTTAAATCTACCAAGCAAAATAAGCCGAAGCGAGGAGAAGATATTTCCTGATAGCTACAAATAAAGTGAACTGACACCTCTGACAAAAAGAGAAAATAATAAATAGAGTAATACTTATATAAATTAACTACACCCACCCCCTCTCCACCCCCACATATTGGAACACCTTTCAGGTACAAAGCAACGTCAAACAAAGGCAAGTAGAACTACTTTTTCTCCTCTTTATTTTAGTCCTAACTTCTATATTTTCTGTCTTCTCCACTTGCTCTCTTCTTACTCCAACACCCCCTCCCTTTTTTTTTCCAGCTTACTCAACCCCTACACCGAAAAAACCATCTTCTTGTTTTGTTGCCAAACATACAAAGATGAGAATTTGATCTTCCATAAAACAGGCTTTGGAAAGAGTGAGAGAAAGACTGCTCTATTGATCAAGCTGAATTTTCTACCACCCCAAACCAAGCTGAATTTTCTCTTATTTATGTCTTCTTGATTAGCTGAGAGCAAATTCTTGATAAAATATTTTTGTGGGGTTCTGGAGTTTTTTTTCCATTTTTGTGTTGTGATTGAGAAGAGGGAGGAAAAAGCTAAGAAGTATGTTTGGGAGGGAGTGTTGGTGTTGGGACAATTACAATGACACTGATGATCATTATCCAGTTGAACCTCAGAAATTTTCTTTGCCTTCACCCCTTCCTAAATGGCCTCAAGGTATATCTGCTTCAAATGATTTTTGTATTTTTCTCAATTTTGTCATCTTATTTTTCTCTTTCACGAGAAGCTGTATGTTTGTCACTAGTCTCTCCGTTGACCTTTCTCTCTCCTCTCTCTCTCTTTCACACACAGAAATAAGTAACTCTTTGCATTGTATGTTAAAACATTTCAAGAAATGGTGGATTTGATGATTGATCATTTATTTGAAAAAGAAAAAAGATGGTTCCTTTAACTTTAATTTAACTCAATTCTTGTAGAGTTCTTTATTTTCTTCCATTATTTTAGTTGAAGCAGAAGATCATGTCACTAATAGGAGGTGTTTCAAGAAAATGAAATTATCACTTTTAACTATCAAAATTTCTGCTCCAGGAGCTCTAATTTTCTATTTCTTCCTCTTAATTCTGAGTTTGACTAATTGGGAAGAAGGTTCACTTTGGACAAAGAAAGTCTTTGTTCATTTCCTGCTTATTCTCTTTAAGACTTGGTCAAACCATGGGAAAAATATGGTGTTTTATTCATGAACTTGGTCAAAGGTTTGGCTGGAATGGGAATAGTGAGTACTTGGAAGTTCAAATCTGCACGCTGAAGAATTAGTTTTATGTTTTTTTCCCTCCAAATTTTGGATTAAATTCTTGGTTCTGCTCCATTTTTTTATTTTAGGACCTTGTTTTAGGAAACATTGATTGTGTTTTCCTATGTTTTTAACTAACAATATGTTCCGTTTGAATGATATTAGACAAAAAACTAGAGCTATTGCAGATAAGAAATCCAACTAGTAATGGACTTATATAGGTGTGAATGAGCATTATTTGATTCTAGATTCTTGTTTGATCTTTGATTCCTCTTTGCTTCAGCCGGCTCAGGGGATGGGGGTCGATTTCTTGTTCTTGTTTGCTTTTAATGGCAGCTGGTTCTTCATTTGTTTTGAAGAAAATCCTTCTAATATGCATATTATAAACATTATTAAGAAAAACTCTTAAGAATAGAGAGAAGGGGATTCCATGAAAAAAGCTTTATGCGGAAGTGCTGCAACAATTGCTCAGTTTGCTAATGGACAGGTGCTGTTTTTGTAGGCAAAGGTTTTGCTACAGGAAGAATATGCTTAGGTGAAATTGAAGTTGTTCAAATCACCAAGTTCAAGAAAATTTGGGGTTGCAGCCCATCATTTGGGAAATCAAATTGCTTCTCCTTTTATAAGCCGGATGAAATTCCACAAGGATTTTCAAGCCTCGGTCACTACTGTCAGCCAGATGGTGAGCACTTAACTGGCTATGTTCTTGCTGCCAAAGACTTATCTGTGAATCATAACCCAAAAGACAATGTCCAAGATTCATCTTCAAAGCTTCCTGCTCTTCAAAAACCTCTGAGCTATACTTTGATTTGGAGTTCAGACTCCCAATACAATGGAAGCGGTTATATTTGGATGCCAAATGCACCAGTTGGTTACAAATCTATGGGATTCGTGGCTTCTGTTGAGCCTAATGAACCTGATCCTGATGAAGTTAGATGTGTCCGTGCTGACCTGACAGCAAAATGTGAGGCATGTGAGATGATGTTTAGTTCAGATTCCATTTTCCCGAGGGACCAATTTCAAGTTTGGAAAACAAGACCTTGCAAGAGGGGCATGCTGTGTAAAGGGGTTTCTGTTGGTACATTCTTCTGCAGTACAACCTTCAGTTTTGGAGATGAACTCGATAATATTGCATGCTTGAAAAATCTCGACTCTTCCCTACATGCCATGCCCAATCTTGAGCAGATCCATGCGCTCATCAAGCACTATGGACCGACAGTTTATCTTCATCCAGATGAGATTTATTTGCCCTCCTCAGTCCCGTGGTTCTTCATTAATGGAGCTCTCCTCTACGAAGATGGGAGGAATAGTGGTACAGCCATCGACTCTAAAGGCTCAAACTTGCCTGCTGGTGGAGAAAACGATGGTGAATATTGGCTTGATTTGCCAAATAAGGATGATGCAAATCGAACCAATGTCAAATGTGGGAACATTGAGAGTGCAGAGCTCTATGTTCATGTTAAACCAGCTTTAGGAGGAACCTTCACGGATATTGCAATGTGGATATTCTGCCCTTTCAATGGACCGGCTACCCTTAAGATTGGGTTGTTGAGTTTTGCTTTGAATAAAGTAGGAGAGCATGTTGGTGATTGGGAGCATTATACACTCCGTATCAGCAACTTTTCTGGTGAGCTCTCGAGTGTGTATTTCTCGGAGCATAGTGGTGGTGAATGGCTAGACGCCTGCAACTTGGAGTTCATCGCGGGAAACAAGTCAGTTGTATATGCATCAAGAAATGGCCACGCAAGTTTCCCACATGCCGGCTGCTATCTTCAAGGCTCTACTAAACTCGGGGTTGGAGTGAGGAACGATTGTGCACGTAGCAAATACCATGTAGACTCTAGTAGCAAATATCAAATTATTGCTGCTGAATACCTTGGAGAGGGAGTTGTTTCAGAACCACCATGGTTGCAATATATGAGGGAATGGGGTCCAACCATCATATACGATGGGCGATCAGAAGTTGAAAAAATAATCAAGCATCTGCCCTTTTTTATGAGATTTTCTGTGGAGAGTCTCATTGAGTTATTTCCAACTGAACTATATGGTGAAGCAGGGCCAACAGGACCAAAGGAAAAGGACAATTGGTTGGGGGATGAAAGATGGTAGTGGGTAGGCAATGTGTTTGTGCTCCTATTAGTGAATTGGTCCAATCCCCACCATTTCTTGCATACATTGGATTGTGAGAAAGCTGCTAGTAGTTCCTATACTGGAGGTTAATGAAAATCCCAGCTTAGGTATCCATTGTATCTATATTGATGGATTATCCAATTCTATTTAAATGTTAAGAGCAAACATTCATTTGCATGATTAATGTCCTTTTCACAGTAATCAAATTCAAGATCTACAAACTAATTAAGATCCATCTTCAAGTTGTCGCGCAAGATTTATTCAGCATAAATCAGCACACTGAAGGCTGAAATCAGAATAAGAAGTTTCCCTTTCTATAGAATAGAAAACATGCACAACTAAACAGACATGCTCTGTTGCTGCAAGTGGAGCAGAAAAAGAGGGTTTTTCTTCTTTGCAAAACGACAAGCGCTACAACCAGTTTGTTTTCTCCTCTCTGTGGTCAAAATACAATTGATGACAACATTTTAACTTTACAAAAGGCCTATCTCCAAAAAGGCACTTCCCTTCCCTTCCCTTACCCTATCCAAAAAAGAGTATTGTTCATCCAACTATGGCTGAAACATGAAACAGAATGCTATTCACCCCTAAAATTATATTGAATTGCAACAAAAGTTGGAAACAAAAAGAAGATAATTAGTATAAATACATAGACAGCATCACTTTGCTGATCTGCCATCCCTGTTGTTAAGGCCCTCCCAACTTATCTCCTGAGCACATTCCCCACAAACAGTGCTACAACCCCATTTGGTTCCTTGACTTCTAAGTGTAAGTAAATGTGATAAGTTTGTGCACTTCCTTGGCACCAAACGGCATCTTGTACTCCCCATTGAAAATACAAGATTACTGTCCTCTGGCGGCAAAAGGCTGGCGGTGGAAACCACTGGCTTTTGCTTTGGCAATGATTCAGAAGTAGAGACATGCTGACGCTCAGCTACGGGCTCATCAGGCGAAATTCGCCTCTCTTCCCATTCAATAGATCTCCGATACACTTCCCACGCCATTTCCTGCTCTTCTTTTGATAGCTTTTCATCCTCGTTCTCTTGCAAGAGACTCTCGTGCAAATGATAATTTGCAATCCACCTGAAGAAACGAGTAACCTATTAAACGCTCTTCTTTTATTAACGAAGTGACTTATCGACTAAAATAGGTTGCCCCAGTAAAAAAGTACACCCAGAAAAAAATTCAAAAGCTTGAATGCTTCGCTGCAAAAGACCATCCTAACAAATATACAAGTAGGGACAGATGCCTTGATGTCCTTTAACCCATTAGACATTGTAGGTTATGGTTTTAGCTGACAACCACTGCATTAATATAAAAAATAAAAATAAAAAAGAGAGCACCTAAAGAAAGTAAAAACAGAAAAGAGGAGAAGCAGCAGCTCATCATATAACCCCAAGTCAAAAATGTGGGTCTTTCTAGAGAGAGCTAACACTTGTATTAAAGGTGGGGTATACTTGGTTCTGGAGGAAACATATGCAGTCAACATGTCAGCTCAGTAGTGAAAGAACTGCAAAATTATTGGCGAAACTAGAGCAGTAAAATATGGAGAATCTCCGAGAACAAAAAGCATTTGCTCAAAAATTCTAGTGCATTATGAGCTCGACATATGAGAGAACCAAAGGTGCTTGGTAAAATTCATCGTTTCTTTTTTCATAGGTTAAGTAGGGGCATTAGTGCCTGGATTTAGTTACATATAATTTTTAGCCGGACCACTGTACTAATATTAAGGTCCAATGGGGCCTGTCAAATACTAAAATAGGAACAAAGTGACCCCAGTCGGCCAAGAAATCAGCTGATCTATGTTTTTTTCCACTTTTGAAAGATGGATATCGTGACAAGGTAGGTCAAGTCAGATCAAGAGGACCTGGATATTTAAGCTAGATTACCACACATTCAGTTGCATCACAAAAATGGGCAATTCAAAATAAATTAATAGAGAAGTTAGACCTACAGACCTATATTTATTCCCTTTGCCTCAAGCTCCAGGTGCAAAATAAGTAATCCAATAGAGGAATAAAGTTGCAGTTGAAGTTTTTTCAACCATAAATGAGATATCTTCTATACAGTCAATTCTCTTTCTAAACTATTCTCGGTTCATCTTAGCCAAAAGTCGAGAAAAGTAACCCTCTTTCCAAAAGTCCGTACATGGTTCTTTCCAAATAAAAAGAATCCAGATGAAATTCTTGGATGAAAGGCCATCTGATAGAGTTGAAAAAAGAGTAGCAATTAACTTATGTCAGTTGCATTATAGCTTTTAGGGAATCTCAACTCATATTGGATCCAAAACGAGAAAGACAGTCAATCATTTTTATTGTTTGCCTGTTCATCCAACAAGCACAATGTTTAAGACGATTAACAGTCAAGTTACCTAAAAACCCAATATATCAATTCCAGCTATCGGATGTCACAAAAATGAGCCAGTAAAACTTGTATTTCTATTTTTTGCACAAAATCAATCTAACAAGGAAAAAAATTTGTTTTGGAAACCAAAATTCACAACAAAATATAGTTAACTTAAAATACTTGCAAAGCTCATTAAATACAATAACATTCCAACAAAATGAGCATGAAGATACACATCTAAATTTATGTAATTCTATCCAGTACTTAAAAATCTAAAACTAAACAAGAGTAGAAAAGGGAAATATTATTTATTGGATGACAAAAGTCAGTTTAACAAGTTCAAGGTACTTGCACATTTAAAAGTGATGAACGGTCCTATTCTCTCACTCCAGCTGATGAATTGTTATGTGCTTTTGTTCCTGTTTCAGCTGGTGCAAGGCTGAAATCAGACAACAACACCCGAGTTGATTACAGAAACTACCGGTCTCTTTCAACGTTGACATATAAACAAGTAGATCTTAAAGAACACTGCGATAAAGGAGAACTATGAAGAACTTCCAGACACCCAGTTTCTCCAAGCAATAAGTTTGTTGATATGGATAGGATTATGCATAAAAAGGAAAAAATAAAATAGGAATGGGGTACTTACTTAAACTGAACTAGACAAATAAAAACAAATTGGACCTTTTCTAATTAAAGTTAATCAGTCGACCTCAGAGGTTTTTGGATGTTTTCTCCAAAGTCTAAAGAAAACAGACTATTATACTATGAATCAGAAAGGAAAAAAAAAAGTGAAATTTATTAGAAGGGAAAAAAACAGACACAGAAAACGACAAAATATATGTTCCGAAGAAATTGTTAATATGACAAAGCAAGAAAAGAACGTCATACCGTGGATGATGGCTGTCAATCAAACTTTGCATTAGCTTGTCAGAAGTAGAGCTTCCATTTGGAAAGGTTAACTTTTGTTTCGAAACACTTCCAACATCTACAGTTGTGTTTGCTTCGCCAGCATGTTCTCTTGCTTGCTTTAACTCCAGAGGTATATCAGAGCTTTCGTCATCTCCGAATTCAAAAAGATGCAACATTTCCTCTTTGGATATAGTTCTATGTACTTGTTGTCTGTCGACCACCCGTGCTGCAAGACCTTCCTTCGTTACCTGCTTAAATTATCCACTTAAATAATTCATGAAATAAAAGCTATTCTGACATGAGCTCTTCTTGGATTATTCTTTTTTACCTGACGCTTGTATATCTTTTCCTCCATCGTTCCATGTGCAAGTAAACGGTAAGCAAAGACAGGTTTTGTTTGACCATACCTAAGATGTACAAGCATTCTGGCTAAATATATATTCCAATGAAACCTGGGTGTTTTATTACACACAAATTTGAAAGACATACCTCCAAGCTCGATATATAGCTTGAAGATCATGAGTTGGATTCCAAGAGCCATCAACTATAATTACACGGTTAGCAGCATAAAGGTTGATACCCAGAGATCCAGCTCTAGTAGATATTAAAACGCATTTAACCCTTCTATTTAATGGGTCGTTAAAACTATCAACAAGTCTCTGCCTTTCAGATGATTCTGTTTTTCCATCAATCCTGTTGTTCAAAAGGAGGAGAAATTTTTTGTAGTGACGTAAAAGCAAGAAATAGAAGACAAACCACATCCTCAAAAAAAAGTTAAGCAAAATAACATTCACCACTAGCATCCCATTATCATAACCTTCTCCATCTATTCCAAAAAGATAGTGATATTTGGCTTCCTGGTCGTCAAACCGGACGAACTTTGACTAAGAAGTTAACAAAAATATTGCATAATATGAAATTTTATGTTATAAAACTATAATTTCTAAACCAATGGGTTACTTTTGTTCCAAAGAAGACATCCGTGAAAAAAAGAGGAAACGTTGGCAATTCTAGTTCAGATGGAATTTGAGGATAAATTAATTAAGGCAAATCTTCCTTTGAAATAAACCTACTTATTTAATTGATGTCCAGTTTACCAAATTAACTTTGATATTCTATTTATCATAATCAAAAGGAAGAGACCCCTCCCCCCACAACCCCCAAAAAAAGAGCTCCAGTGCAGAAGCTCTTTCTCCATTCTAAGAATGAGATATAAATGAATACGAAAAGCCAAACTAATTACTAAGGCTAACAAGAAGACTGTCTGCTTCTTTGAGCCTTCGCTTGGATAGCTAGTAGTTATGAGCCGCAGTCCCCAGACTATAGATAAAAGATGTAGAGGTATGAGCCACACGATAGGTGAATCAATGGGCTTGTTTCCTTTCTTTCTCATGTCAACTGAGGAAAGGTTCCTCTTTGCTTTGATTAGATGGTCAGTAATCTTATCTCTCCAAAGAATAGGCCAAATTTTCCTTGAAGACAAACTCGGACAATCAAATTCTCAAGGATTGTATTTCTCAAATGATATTGAAATGAATTCGCAAGAAATGCAACAGTAAAAGATGGGTTCCACATCAACGCTATTAGACGATATTATTAAGCAAATGAAATTATGCTCTCTTTACTAGGTTAAGCTTTTAAATGAGATGGTTACACTTTAGCATGGTATTAGAGTAAGCAGAAGTCCTTTTCTTGATCTTGGCCAATCCTCACCTCATGAACAAACTTTCGAGGTTGAGTTAGGACAAAGGTCCATTTTCTTTACATGGTATCAATGGATAACCATCCCTGTTATTGTATTTTCCCATGTTCGGCCCCATGTTATATTATCCATGCTCTAGTTGACATGCTTGAGCATACAGTATGGTGTTAGATTTTTCCAGATTAGTAGAGGGAGTAGACTGTTTTCTCCTTATATAGTCTTATGTAATCCGCACCTCATAAGATGGCTTTTGAAGTTGAGCGACGCTCAAGAACCATTTTCTTAACATGGTATCTGTGAGAAAGCACGGGAGAAAACATATTATTGATTCATTAATTGACAATGCTACAATGAGCCCTATATATACAATACATGTCCTACTCCTAATACATATGGGATTAGGGTTATTTACTACTATTTATACAATGAAACTAAAACTCCCCTCAAGCTGGTGCATATAAATCATATGTACCGAGCTTGTTACATATATAACTAATACGAGGACCAGTGAGGGACTTGGTGAAAACATCAGCAAGCTGATCATTCGACTTCACAAATTTTGTAGCAATATCTCCCGAGAGCATCTTTTCTCTAACAAAGTGACAGTCAATCTCGATGTGTTTAGTTCTCTCATGGAACACTAGATTTGACGCAATATGAAGAGCAGCTTGATTATCACACACAAGTCCCATCTGACTAATCTCACCAAATTTCAACTCCTTGAGCAACTGTTTGATCCAAATTAGCTCAGATGTGGCCATAGCCATTGCTCGATATTCTGCTTCTGCACTAGACCGAGCAACCACATTCCGTTTCTTGCTCTTCCAAGACACCAAATTTCCTCCTCTACTAAGACACAATATCCAGACGTAGAACGTCTATCAGAAGGTGATCCTGCCCAATCAACATCTGAGTATCCAACGATCTGCTCATGGCATCGATCCTCAAACAATAAGCCTTTGCCTGGAGCTGATTTTATATACTGAAGACTGCGGACAACTGCATCTCAATGACTATCACAGGGAGAATCCATAAACTGACTCACAACACTCACAGGAAAGGAAATGTCAGGTCTAGTCACTGTGATGTAATTTAATTTACCAACCAACCGCCTATATCTTGCAGGATTGCTAAGAGGCTCCCCTGTCCTGGCAGAAGTTTAGAATTCGGATCCATCGGAGTGTCAACAGGTCTACAACCTGTCATTCTTGTCTCCTCAAGAATATTTAAGGCATACTTCCGTTGTGAGATCACAATACCAGAGCTAGACTGAGCGACCTCAATACCCAGAAAATACTTTAATCTGCCCAGATCCTTAGTTTGAAAGTGCTGAAAGAGATGTTGCTTCAACTTACTAATACCATCCTGATCATTGCTGGTAACAACAATATCGTCACCATAAACGACCAGATAAATACAGAGATTTGAAGCAGAATATCGATAAAATACAGAGTGATCAGCTTCACTACGAGTCATGCCAAACTCCTGAATAAATGTGTTGAACTTACCAAACCAANACAAGATGTAAGAACTGCATCCCCCAAAAACGCAGCGGAACATGAGATTGTATGAGTAGGGTACAAGCAATTTCAATAAGATGTCTATTCTTTCTTTCAGCTATCCCATTTTGTTGGGATGTGTACGGACAAAATGTTTGATGAATAATCCCATGGGAGTTCATAAACTGCTAAAATGGGGGAAACAAATACTCTAGGGCATTATCACTACGAAATGTACGGATAGAAACCCCAAATTGAGTTTGAATTTCAGCGTGGAAGGTCTGGAAAATAGAAAACTCAGATCGATTTTTCATCAAAAATATCTCGGTGCACCTGGAATAATCATCAATGAAACTGACAAAGTAGCGAAATCCTAAGGTAGAACTAACCCGACTAGGACCCCAAACATCTGAATGTACTAAAGAAAAAGGTGACTCGGCTCGATTATCAAGACGTCGCGGGAAATGGGAGCGGGTATGCTTACCGAGCTGACACGACTCACACTCTAGAGTAGACAAGTGAGATAAGTCAGGTACCATTTTCTGAAGTTTTGACAAACTGGGATGTCCTAACCGTTTATGTAATAAATCTGGTGAATCAGTAACGGGAGAAGTTATTGGAGGAAGACAAGATGCGAGTCCATGTAATTTTGCAAGGATAAGGTAATAAAGTCCATCT